ATATGGATAATCTGGGAATGCCCTAGAGTTGAAATTATTGTACTCCATAGCTCTATGAATTGTGATCAAACAGATGGATGTTTGTTTAGTTTTCAAAGCTGTTAAGTTAAAATAAATAAAAGGTTCTGGCATTTTTCCAGTAATTTTGTGAAAGTATATCATGTTTAAACATTTCACCCCCTCTACCACTTAGGCAAGAAACAGAACACATTTTTTTTTTGTAATGACATCTCATGCCAATAAAATTTGAAATATTTAAATGCTATTCACTCACTATATTTTAACCATTTTAATGGGGGCTATTAGAGGATGCAAAGAAAACCTTAAACAAATACAGATAAGCCTTGCCCTTAGAAAGTTTACAATCTATGTTGTAACATAGTACCCTGTACTCAACACCCCCCACACACAAATGGAGTCAATAACATCCTGTGAATAAGGAATGCAGATGAGTATTGAGAAACAAAATGTTTTATTTTAGTAAAGGAAGGCTCCTAATATGAAAAATCAATAGTAATTCAGTTGAGTATATGGCACAGATTATTGGATGTGCTATCACATGGGCAAAATTGGTGTATTTTTAAATCTATATATGTTTGTGTATTTTTTCAATAGTTTATTTAGATATCTTACAGAAATCTCCCTATAACATAAAGAGATCATTGAATAAAAATGCAAATACAGAAACTAATTATTTTTACTAGTTAAAAATCAGAATTGTAGTCCTAGCCTAGCATACCTAGTTATTCATAATGGAGAAAATTCACTGATTTCCAGGGATTTTTATATTTTAATTGTTATGGAAGCAATATTTAAAACTGAAATAGATATGACAGAACATTTTGAAATTTAAAACTATTATAAAGAAACTAAGCTACAGTGAAAGAAGAAATGCTGTTCAACAATGCCAGGTTTATGCATTATAGTGTGATAGAATCCAAGGCTAAAAGTTGTGTGGCCTGAGTTCTAGTCCCTTCTTTGTGGTTTCCAAGCTGTGTGATATTGGGCAAATCATCTAATCTTTGTAGGTTTTCAGTTTCTTCACCTTTAAATAAGTATACAGGACCAGAGTATTTTGTGTTCTCTTGAGTTTTTAAATCCCATGATTCTGTATTTTCTGTCTCTGGAGTTTGATGATTTTTTTTTTTTTTTGAAAGCTGATTGATTTTACATTGTAAGAGGACAATAGTTCAGTCATGCTCTTAAAGATTTATATGCTTGGAAGTTGAGCTTACCAATTTTGAAACTTTCATTATTCAGAAATGAATTTTGTACTTCTTTGGAGCTTAGGTTTTAGGAATTAGGCCAGAAGTATTTTTTTTAAATCTCTGGTGCAACACTTTCAAATAGAACTTTCTGAGGTGATGGAAATGTAATATAATATATCCATGCTGTCCAATATGGTAGCCACTAGCTACACATGCGGCTGTTGAACACTTGATTGTGACTAGTGTGACTGTTGGTAGGGGTTGTTACGGAACTGGGGAACTGAATTTTAAATTTTATTTAATTGCAATTTCAGCGTAAATTGTGATTAGCGACTCTTGTATTAAGCTGTGTAGCTGTAGTGTGTGTGTATGTGTAGGTGCACACACATGCTGAATAGGGAATGGGTGGCAGGATGTAAAGGAGAGAGAGGGAAGAGATCATTATTTTGGATGATGGGATGCTGCCCATACTTCACTGTTCAGGATGTGTTTAAAGTGGAATGTAATCCATTCCTGGAGCCGTTTTCTTCTTTTTCTTTTTTTCTGCATTCCATTATGTATTACACCAACCAGAACCCACTGTTGTTGAGTCGATTCCAACTCATAGTGACCCTATAGGACATAGTAGAACTGTCCCATAGGGTTTCCAAGGCTGTAATCTTTATAGAAGCTGACTGCCGCATTTTTCTCCTACAGAGCTGCTGGTGGGCTCCAACTGCCGATCTTTCGGTTAGTAGCCGAGCACTTAACCACTTTGCCACCAGAGCTCCATATGTATTATGATAATAACTTTTTATTAGACAGGATATTATTAAAAAAACTGTATGTTTTTCGAATTAATCTACAGTTTCAAAGCTAGATAGATATTCCAAGTATGTTAAGCATGATGCACAAGTTAAATTTTATTACCTTACCCATCCTTAAAAGCTTTTTTTTGTGTGAATCTGTGAATGGAATTCATGAGACAGCTGGAATATGATGGTAATTAGTCAATATTTGGAGTAAAAATACATAGTTTAGAATCATGAGTTTCTTCTTTGTTGTTTGGCTTTTTGTAAGTTATTTAGTTGCTTTTAGCCTCAGTTTCATCATCTGTGAAATAAGGATAATAATACCTTAAATGGTTTTTATGAGGATGAGCCTAATGGTAAGTTATGTAAAGCACCTAGTACATTTTCTGGCATCTAAGAGCAATTAAAATAATAATAATTATGATAACAGTTTGGGATTCTGTAGTTAGCTATGAGTTCAGAATCTACACAATGGGTATTTCATTTTTATGATTAGGTAATAATATTTTCTGCCTTCTAAGCTAATCATGTTTTTTATAATTTTGTACTAGTAAATAGTAACACTTATCAATTTTTGATTAATTATGTTCCTGTTCTCTGAAAAGGCCGGTAATAGTGTAGTAGTATAGAGAAATACAAATAATTAAAATGATTTTTCTGCTACCTGCATTCGTACAATATAAATATTTCTGTAAAAGAGTATTGCTTAGCTGATTATGGTGGACATGACATGGTGGTATGACCGTTCATTTTATGTTATTTGTAATTAGTTAAATATTTATTAGTATTTGATAACAATAAATATTACATTGATAAACCAGTGCGTTTACTGCTTTTAAACTACTGACTTCAAAGTGTTTCCTAATCATTTTACATTTTAGTCAGAAAATATAACTTCATTGTTTTGGTATTCAGTTATATATCCATTTATTATATGTAAAATAAGTACTTAATAGTATTGCAGCATTTATCTGATTAAAATGTAAAGTTATTTTCATGTTGATACAGACATTCATTTTATGGACTTTAACTATTATCTTCTGATCCAAATACTTTCATTTATGTAAAGGTACAACTGCAAGATTCATTAACTTCTTAACGGAAATGTTCTCTTTACTTGTAGGGTATTGCTATACGCCATTAAGCCAGAATTTCTTCTGGCGAAAACAGTCCTAGCAGATGGCAACTTTTCTCTCTATTAATTTTGGATTGGGCATGTATTTTGGCTTGTTCGGTCATGTATTGTTCGGTTGTATTGGTGTCAAGCATATACAATGATAATATAGTTATGGACATGTACAGTATGCAAACTTATGTCCAAGCCTATTGCAACAATATAAAGACTTACACAGTTTTGTTATTGTAAATATAATTTTGTACTATTAAGGCATCGGTTTATTTAGTAACTTATTTTGCGTGTCTTTTAAGGTAATGCCAAGTGTTCGGCAAATATTTAGTCAATTGTATAAGTGTTTTGTCTTGATAATTGGGCATTTACATAAATTGGACTGCGTTGTTAAAATATCATTTAGATATCTAGTATTGTTGGAAAAAACCTGAATCATCCCCTTTAAAGCAATCAACTTTCGAGTTTTGAACCTGAATGTCAGGTAGATGGCCTAATCTACCAAAAAGCAACTTGAATGTACATGATAGAGATATAGAATTAAAAATAATGCAGTGAAACCTGCAAAAGGTGGAACTTGTGTAAGGTGGAAACCTGTCAGTGAAGGAAAACTCACTACATGTTTATGAGGTAGGATTCAGTACCCTGTCAAAGGTGAAAAACTTGTGAGACCTGGAAAAACAAGGTAGTGCCTTTTGAGTTTTGGCTCTGACAGGTTTCACTGTATGTTTTTATGTTGTATCCATACCTTGAAAGAATAGCTATCATATTAATAGGTCTGGGTAAGTCTAGTCAAAATGTTTGAAATAGTTTTCTTTTGGTGATGCGTTTTTTCCATAGTAACTACTGATTTACTTTGTGTCCTCTTCTATGAATACTTAACATCTTTACTAAATCTGGTATTTTCCAGGCGTCCTCTTACAGTCAGCCCTTTGAGCACTCTAGTTCTAGTTGCCTACATGTGTAGCTCTTCAATTAAACTATTAGTTTCCTTAGACTTGAGCATCATTTTCCAAAAATGCTATTCAGGAATAATGTCTGGAACACTGGGGAATTAGCGTTTTGTTGATTCCCTCCTAGCTTGCAATTACCAAAAAATAAGTTCCCTGTCATAATAGGGAATGTCAAAATAAGAAGTTAAGAAAAGCCAAACTCATTTTCCAGTATTAATATAATTAATAAAATGCTTTCACTTGAAAACAAGCCCTTATTTTCTTTATTATGAAATGCACATTGATATTGGTGTCACAGTGCCGTCTAGTTGATCTTAATTTACTTGCATTCATTTTTTTCATACATAGTAAGTTAATTCATCTTAATTATATATTTAATACTCTCTACATATCTTGTGAAAATCCATCTGAAGAAGAAGATGGAGAGAGTGAGTATAAATCAGTTTAATTTCTCCAAGTTATCACTATTCCCTGTTTAATATCAGGACACTTCTTTTTATAACTATATTTATTTTAGGAAAATGTTTATTACCATGTGGAATTGAGGCCAAGTGTACTCTGAGGACAGCTGGATATGAAAGATGCATTTCATGTTTGGAACAGTTAGGTTTCTCAGAGGAAAGTTTAATTTTCCTTTGTATTGGTTAGCAAAGCATAGCAGTCCTTGACCATTCATCAAATCTTCCTTGGAATTATTTTAGACATTAGAAACTTTACTAATTTTGCCATTTATACTCTAAAGTCATAATCATCATTATACTTTTGGAAATATTTGAAATTCTTATTATAGTTTATAATATATGTTTATATGCCTTTAGTGTGGGATAATTGATGAATTTATCTGAATGCATTAAGTAAATATTTCCTAATTTTTTTTAATGTCTTTTTTTAAAAAGAAATAAAATTTGCTTTCTAATTACAGGTGGCCTGCATGCAGTTTATAAATGCCCTTGTAACTTCTCCTTATGAGCTTGATTTTCGAATACATTTAAGGAATGAATTTCTCCGCTCTGGACTAAAAAGAATGTTACCAGTAAGTTGCATATATACATTTACTATACTGATGAACCTTACTACTTTTTCTCTTTAGACAAAATACTTAAAGCAGAGTTAATAAATGTTCCTTGCTGTTTTCTTTTGTAAAACTTTAGGCATTTCATAAGCTTTTTTATATTGGAGTATTACCAGTCACTATATACAACTGATGATTCAGAATTCAACTGATGACATGTCCAGAAGTGATTTTTTTTTGTCTCCTTAAAGTAAAAAAGGTCCCTCTTTTCTTTAAATATTGAATATTGAGACCGTACAAGACTACTATTCTTTTATAGTTTCAAGTTTCATTGAAAAATTTTTGCTTTCCTATTTGATAACTTAGATTCATTTCATTTATGTTTTAGCATAACTGTGCATAGAATTTTGACTAGTGTATTCTATACACATTGTTTAAGAATGGTACTCTTGTTATAATGGTTTAGGAACTTTTCTAAAGAAAAATAATTTTATTTCTTAAATTGAATGTGAATATTTGCTTTAACTACGTTAATGTTAAAAAAATCTTTGAAATAACTTTATAGGCTTGATCTGAGATAAATGAGCACACTTATTTTAAAAATATAGGTACAAGTCTTTTGGCTTTATATTTTACAAAGTATGTTAACTGAAGAGTAACATTGTTCAAGACTTTTGCCTTGTTAAAAGAAACAAGTAAAGTCTTACTAGTCCCTTCATTTAGCTATTCAGGGCACACCTGAGAAACAAGAAGTAAAAGTAAGGGAGGAAAAAAAAAAAAAGTAAAAAGGACTGAGGAAAGGAAAAAAAATGTCAGTAAGCATGCATATAAGACTTGAGTTGCTAGAAATACCAAAAGCGGGGATGTTTCTTGGTGAGGAACTAGTACCTCGTGGTTTGTTAGTCATAGCTGAAAGTTGAAACCATTGTAATAAGATGAATGATTAAGTCTATTGAAACTCATTTATTTTAATAAGATGTATGATTGGGTATGCCTGATGTCAGAAATTTCTGACCCACCTTGAGTGGCTCTTTAATTCTTGACTTTAAAAATCAAGGAATTGGTTACAGGGAATCAAAGCAACATGTTAGGTGACCGAGGTTCAATATGCAGTTAACTTAGGCACATTCACCAGTTATAGTGTGTGTAATACATACTTATTCTTATTGATAAAATTTCTTTTCACAAAAAGATTGATAGCGTCTATGGCCTTAGAGAACTAGAGATAATGTTGTAGTTTTGATTTTAGTTTGCTTTTGAGTTTCCTTCTTGTAGGTTTCCATGTTTGTCCTCACTGGGCTGGTGCTGTGTTTTGGGGAGAGTAATGTCTTTAAAGCATGCTGGCTGCCAGGAATGCTTACATCCTCTATTCATTTACTAATACAAATGTTTTCTGCCTTGTTGTTGCTATTATTCTTCCATCATTAATTTCCCTGTGTGTATTTGTAGTTGAACATTTTCTGCCTCATACTACTGAAATGTCACTCTTGTTTTAATTTATGTTACTCCTTGTCAGAAAAGGATATGGGGTGGTAGCTCTTGTTTTTACCTTTTACACTTTGATCTGAGTGTATTAATCTCTCCTGGGCTCAGTGTTCTCATTGTATGTTATTCAGTTGGCTACAGCAATAGCTGAGATTTTTGAATCAATATTTCCAAGCGTCACTTTCCCACTGACCATCTGGCTGTATATAAAACTTCTTGTGGCACCATGTACTTTTTTAATTTGTATGTTATTAATATATACTTCCAATCAGATTTTTCCCAAACTGTCACATTTCTTCAGTATGCCCTACTTCTCAGGTATTACTGATGCCTCAGCAAAAGTGGGATGTGCCATGTTTCTGGTCCTAAAGCTTTTGAATAGAAGGAAGACTCTACAGGGATTCTCAAAAAATTTTTTGTCCGTAAGACAGTGGAGCTACGGATTCCATATATATCAAATAATAGCTAAATTATGCCTCTGATTCTCAATCAAGAGGTGGGATATGTCTCCCTAAAGACAGACTGTCAAAATCTTACTGAGGGTTGGGCAGACATGTTTCGTTTGGGAAAAAAACCCTCCCCAGGTAAATCTGACAGAAAGATGAGAGTCAGAGTCTAGAGATAGTCCCTGAAAAGATTGGAGCTTATCCCTTCAATACCATAGATTCCACTACTGATGTTTTTGTTGTTGTAGTTTTATTATCATGATTTGGAGCAAACGACAGAATGATCATGCTTTAATATATACTAGTTGTACCTAACATGTCAACTACTGCTGTCATCCATAATTAATTATCTAATTAACTAAATATTGAAATTAAAAACGTTTAGAGTTATTGCCACATTAAATATCTTTTACACGTGCACTAAAGCTTACTGATATATTCGTAGATATAGCCTTTAAAATACTTTTTTTCTATTTATTCTTACTTTATACACAGTTCTAACAAGAGATACTTCTAAATTTTCTAGAATATACCATATTCAAAGCAGCAAATTTGAAGTGGCTAGGGTTAATATTAATATTAAGGAGCCCTGGTGGCACAATGATTAAGCACTCTGCTGCTAACTGAAAAGTTGATAGTTCAAACCTACTGTCTGCTCAGCTGGAGAAGAGACCTGCTTCTGTAAAGATTATAGCCTAAGAAACTCTATGGGACAGTTCTACCGTGTCCTGTAGGGTTGCTATGAGTCAGAGTCAACTCAATGACAAATAACAACAGGGTTAATATTAATAGTTGGTACATGGATCAAAAATTATACATCTCTGGATCTATTAATGTTATAGAAGACTAGTTCTTAGTATTTCAATAGCCCCTGAGTCCATCATAATATAATTAAAAAAGAAAACCTTGCGATGAAGTCCATTCTGACTCATAGTGCCCCTATAGGTCAGAGTGGAACTGTCCCATAGGGTTTCCAAGGAGCGGCTGGTGGATTCAAACTATCGACCTTTTTGGTTAGCAGCCAGACTCTTAACCACTGTGCCACAGGGCTACACATCATAATTTAATAGTAGAGTGAAACCTTTTTCCTAATAACTTATCTGGATCCTAGAGACATGGATAAGTATTTTAAATATATTCTGTAAAATAATTCTTTCAAGATCTTTCCCCTGCCCCCATGATTGAATTTTGGTGTTTAAATGGAGTTTATACTTCATGCATCTGGAGAATTCTCTGTTGATAAATTTGCTTAATAATTTGGAATAAATGAAGGGTTATGTAGTATACAGTCATTTGTAAAATAAATATTTGCTCTGTACTTAACTTACAAGAACTTCTTGTGAAATTTTCACCATTTACCTTTTATTAAGTTAAATAAATTACATGAATATTAGATAAGTGAGATATGTGAAGGAACAAGATTGTAAGACACTGTGTCTGTGTCAGGTGAGCATTATTTACCTCATTTTAAGAGACTGAGAAAGCCTGCTGATCAGTAGTGTCCTGGTAATGGACTTTGATTTCCGGTGAAGTACACTATACTATAGAAAATTATATTTGCACGAAATCAGCAAAAACAGTTTAATATCTATCTATACAACACCAAAACCAAACTAAACCCTTTGCTCTCGAGTCAATTCCGACTCATAGCGACCCTGTAGGACAGAGTAGAACTGCCTCACAGGGTTTCCAAGGAGCTCCTGGTGGATTCAAACTACTGACCTTTTGGTTAGCAGCCGAACTCTTAACCACTGTGCTACCAGGGCTCCATCTATACAGCAGGTCTATTTAAAGAATTTCTGAAAAATATTTACAGTATTTCACATAAAATAGTGTAATTCAGTAATTTTATGATATTCTACATTTTAAAATATAAAAGATTAGTTGTACATTTCCATTTTCTTTTGTAGACTGTCACATTATTTTTGTTATATATAAATATTAATTCATTAAAATGTTTATTTTTATCAAGAATTTATAGATATATCTTTCAAGGTTTGACATTTGACTGAAAGGAAGTTTATATATATATGTATATATGCATATGTATATATTTATTTTAATAGCCTGGGAGCATTATTAATCAAAGATATTTATAATATATTACATTTATACACACCTGTATTTTTTATATTATACTATATCTGTTCATATATATATATTGCATAAATAATGTCTGTTCCTAATTGAAAGCCTAATTGAACATTTAGTCAGTTATTTTTACTGAAAATAATTTAAGCACGCAGACTAATTTCCATGTTTTGTAAAGTTCTGGTGCTAATTAAGTGAAATATTTAACTTAGATTTTTCTATTTTCAAACATTTGAATATATTCATGTTTTATGATGAGTATTTAAGAGAACATATATTGTGACACAAAAATAAGAAAAAGTCTGTACTTGAAAATATGTGAAAGGTTGTTTCTTCAATGATCAGTGTATTGATTGAATCTGGTTTCTGTTATTTTCTGAGCAGAGTTAAGAAACCACCTGATAATATGCCCCACCAATGTTAGATAACTCTGCATTGCAATAACTTTCCTCATTCCCCTTCGAAGTGGATAAATAGACCTAATGCAAGTTACTACTAAACAGAAAACAAAGTGTAAATACAATTATTTGTTATGTTTTATATAAAATCATATAGAAACATATTATTAATTTTCATGTGCTCTGGAGGCAAATTTTTAGTAAATTATTATGTGTGTGAATATTAGGAAAAGAACATCTATAAATAGCTTTAATTTGTTTGGCTTTAGTAATAGCAATTTATAATTGTTCTATTGGATAAAAATAGAAACAAGAAATGCATCCCGTTTTGTTTGATCTACCTAATTTGAAGTACGCCATGCTTGCATTTCCTTTTAGAGTTCAAGCTCAGCTCTGAACATCCTAGTCCCACTTTTCGGTATCACCCTTGAGCAACCACAGTTGTGATTATCGATTTGGGTTTTGAAAGCTGCAACTTAATGGACACATATTAAAAGATCTTCCAGGTGATATATATTAAGCCCAACAATCTCTAGTGTGGCATGCTTCCAAAGTTTTTTTTTTTTTAATTTTTTATTATTAGTTTGAAAATTATCTGGGGTTTGTAATGCATGTGCTTATAATGTATTACAAAAAGAAATCCTTGATGCCCAAGTCGGTATTTTGTGATTAGGCTAAGCAAAAATGAAAGGTGGGGGAGGAGACTACATCTGTGGCCTGATAATATATCCTAAAGCCTTTTTGCTTTAAAATCACAAAATATCATTTGAAATAAATTTGTTTATACAACTTTTTACGCCATACTTGGGACTGTTGTGCTTGAATATATCCTTGCATTTATTCTTCGATAATACAATTGATGTATATTTGCATTTTTTGCCAGAGGCATATGTGAATGTTCTAACTGCATGAGTTATTTTGAGATATTTGATTAGTATGTTTAGTCAGAATGACAGCATTTAATTTGGGTTGTTAGCAATTGTTTTTTTTCCGTTTTAAAAGCAATAGTTAATTTTTTTATGTGAATAATCAAAATCTGAGGCATAGAAAGAAAATGCAATTAATGCAATGAGTCTCTTTAATTTGAAATAGAAAAAATTTAGCTACATTTATTTTCTTTTAGGAGACCAAGTGCATAGGTCAGTATTTGAAATTGCTTCCTTTGTGTGCAAATGAATAATAATGTTCTGACCTTTATTATCAAAGTATGCTGTTGTCAAACTGTTACTTGTCTGTTAAGTTTTTTGTTTATATACTAGGATCTAAAAGAAAAAGAGAACGATGAGCTTGATATTCAGTTGAAAGTATTTGATGAGAACAAAGAGGACGACCTAACTGAATTATCACACCGCCTCAATGACATTCGAGCAGAAATGGAATATCCTTTGACAAACCACAAAATAATTTTGCATATATTGTGAAATTGGGATTTTTGAGTGATTTTGTGGACCATTATTAGCGTTTTTGTCACCAGCCCAATTTATATCCATTTACTTACATTAGAACCTCACTGTGATGCTGGTCTTGGGATTCATGCTGATGAATTGTCAGACTGTGCTGATGATTTGCACAGACTATACTGAAATTTTGCACAATGGCTTGCTCTGTTATAGGTATACTCTGCTCAATGGTCTCGAATAGACAAGAGCCTAAGGAGTTTACCTCATGTATTAGGATTGTTTTGGGAAAAGTTCACTAATTTCATAAGAGTCTTCAGATAGTACACTTTTTCAGCTTATTTATTGTATTCCAGTGGCTTAGAGATAGAATTCAATTCAAATAAATGACTTATTCTTTATGCAGATATTTTATATTCTTTAACAACAACAAAAAATGTTGAAGTGCAGTGGTATCTGACTGTAACAAGACTATGTTTGAAGCATCCAAGTCAAATACAGCCGACATATATCTTTCTATGGCAATGATTTTATATGAAATTATTTTAGATCTAAGAGATCATTGTCATAGCATTACTGGTCTTTTGTTTTATACCCATTAAATTTCTTGCCTACGGATTCTGGGAAGGTTGGGAAATACCTCAGAACCAAAGTGACCTTTGAGCAGAACTTTTTCTGTATGAAGTCTTCGTCTCATCCCTACTCCAAAATCTGGAAGTAATTTTTCCGTCCTTGAAACAGCCACAGTACTTTCTTTGTATCTTCTCTTATTTATGTACACTTCTCTGCCTCAATGAAAGTGAGGATAGAAATATTATGGTTCATCTTTTTCCTCCAATGCTCCTATCAAAGTGTCTTACACATAGGTATAGGATAACTGTGTGTATGGTGAATAACTGAATATTATTATATGGAATAATTTCTTATCCATTATTGATGATACTAGTGTAATATTGAATGTATTTCTATCAATTAATATATGTATTGCTTTCTTGCTTTTTGTAGACTTCTCTTATAATTGAAGTAAACCATAAAGTTATTTTTGGATCCATAATCGAACTTCAGTATAAAGTTACTTTTGGATCCATTCTGTAGACAGTTAAAGGACCTCATAAGACTTTTACCTCAACAGTCTTACAGGGAATCTAAGAAGTAATCCATCATATACTTAATTCTACTTTGGTGAAAATGTTGACATTTCAGGTTATTTTTATGATGTTGAATTACATTTCAGATTTAATAAGTATTTCATCTGGACAAAATGAAACTGCTTTTGTGATTTTGTCGTATTCCACGAAGTCTGAGAAGGCTTGTTTGCCTTCTATCTTATGTGGCAGTGAAAATAGAGGAGCAGTGGCTTGCATAAATAACATAGGTCCTCTAGCACAACTACATCAGTTGCTGTGTGGCATGAATGGTTAAGTGCTGAACTACTAGCCAAAAGGTTAGCAGGTCAAACCCACCCAGAGTTTGCCTGGGAAGACAGGCCTGGCTATCTTCTTCCGAAAGGTCACAGCCTTGAAAACCATATGGAGCAGTTCTGCATTGCACACATGGGGCCTGGGGTCGCCATGAGTCAGAATCGACCTACTGGCAACCAACAACAACATCACTGTCACAGAGAGATTAAGAAAAAATCATTTTCATTGATTGCATTGCCATTCCAATGGTAGCAGTTATAATCTGGATTTTAAACTACATTGAACAGTTTATCATTTAAGGTTATGGCAGACAGTCTTGGAAATATGTTTAGGTCTGTTTTTCTACTTAAAAGGTTAAAATAATTCCATAAATTAAATTTATTTATGTAAGTGTTTACTCGATCTTGGAAGCAGTAATGGAAACAAAATGATAAATCAGTATTTTTAACAAAATTAAGCAACTTTTCATCAAGAATCTTTGATTTTTTTTTCCTTTACTTACTTTCTACTGATATGAATGAAGTATACCATCTTCTGTATAATATGTTGAAGGACACTGCTGCGGAAAATTACTTATTATCCATTCTACAGCATTTTTTGCTCATCAGAAATGATTATTATGTCAGGTAAGAGGCAGTTCTGAAAGTCCTATATTTGTAATTTGAATTGGATATTAAAGGGTAATGAACAGTTTACTGGGGCCTAGGTAGTATATGCATAGATATATAAGGAAAGTATAAGAGTTTGACTAGGTATTGTATTTTTAAAGGTATTAATTTATTTTTAATTGGGCCAGAAGAGAGAACCTACTTATAAAATTGGGGCAACCCAATGATAGAACTTTTAGTAGCAATGAACCCAACAGATTTTGTTGTCCCCATGATGATTTTTCTTTGGTAATTAATGCTAGCAGAAAGCAAGCACTGAAGATTCTATGGGAGAACTTTTAAGTTCTTATGTTGTATATTTTAGTAAGTAAAGCTTTACTATTATTTTTATTTTATTGTACTTATCTAGTAATAGTTGTGGTCTTAGCTTCTAAGAAAATAGTTAAGTCTAGGATTTCAGTTTTGCATCCAGTAATGTAATTTTTCAAAATGAGTATGATAATGACCCATAAAGTTAGAAGTTTTAGAGTCTAGTAAGTAGGAATATATCTGAAAACTAAACCATTAGGAAAGGTCTCTGAGTAACTGAAATTACCCATAAGTTGGTGACCACAATCTTACATTTAACTGTTCAAGAGACTCTAAGTTGTTGTTCATTGATTATTAATTTGCATGAAATTCTGACAACCTGGGTTCTCTGATCTCTCAAATTCTGTTTGATTACTGTATTTTTATGTAACTGACACACACCTTCTACTCTGTTTGCCAGCCAAGCCCTCCTCCCCGTGAGTATTTTCATAAGCACCACAATGCCAGTTATTTTTTTTTTACAAGTTACTGTAAAAGAATTAGCATAGCGAGTTTATGAAAATACGTCTCAGGGGGAGGGCACAGTTGGCAAACAATCATAAAAATACAGCAAAAGGAAAAGGAAGGGCACCATCCGATCAGGTATAGTCTAAACAAAAAGGACAGCTAAAGTAAGATAAAGAGTTATTATCGTTCAGGATGGTGCAATAACTGATGGGCATGGTAATGTTACAGAGTCATAGAAAAGTGTTAAAAATATTAAATTATATTTTTTATGCAGGAAAGATGATAGTGCATTTAAAATGGTTGTTGTTTTCTAATTTAAGTTCTGGCAATTAATGGGGTACTAAGGAGCCCTGGTCCACCCAGTGTTTAAGTGCTTGGCTGCTAACTGAAGGGTCATCGGTCCAAACCCACCAGTCGCTCTGTGGGAGAAGTAGCAGTCTGCTTCTGTAAAGATTACAGACTAGGAAGCCCTATGGAGCAGTTCAGCTCTGTCCTATAGGGTTGAATGAGTTGCGTTCTACTTGACTGCAACAGGTTTATGCCCATCAGTACTAAGTTAGCTGACGAAATCATTTGTGTGAAACTATACATTTCTCAGTAACTTTGAATAAATGAGAAGTTATTCTGTTATCACATCCTTTTCATCCTGAGAACGTCCATGTGAGGTAGAGGTATGACAAACACTTTTATCCCATCAGTGTTTAAGAGAACAATTCTGTTTTCCATGTATACCCAAAGAGTTGACAAGACTGAGATTGTAATCCAATATTATTTACCCTGGACCTGATGATGACTTGAAACAGGCCCAAAGATGTAATATATATTACTGTCTATTCTTGATTTGGGGATCAACCCCATGACTGAAGAGATAGAAGAGCAATTAGAATCATTTAGGCTTTATTTTCAAACTTTCAGTAGGTTGGCTAGTTATCAGCATACTGTATTTAGGGATGTTTATGTCATAATTTGTATACAGTAGTGCTTCTTACTGATTTTTTTCCCCTCTGTTGAATTTATTAGCCACTGACAAAATACTAGATTTCCCCCAAATTTTAATCTAAGAAGTACTTTTTAATTTTTTTGTTTCATAGTATACAAGTGGTCATGTTTAAAACCAGACTTACCTTGATAGATTGTAGGATTAGAATATGTTTTAAAACCTTTGGCACTTTAAACAAATTGAGGCTGTAACCATGCATACTAAGTGTGTATACTTCTATAAAATGGATCTTTTTAAATATGTACTTAAATAGATCTTTGGAATCGTCTCTAACATAAGTGGCTCAGTCTAGTTTTGCAAGCTGTTATAGCTATATTGAGTAAAAGTGCTGCAGTAAATTCAATATGTCATTTGCCACCTAATGCCAAGGTACTCATCCCTTACTGAAATTGAGAACTTGTGGAAGCCTAGAACCATTTCTGTATCCATGGATGTAGGGCTAACAGGTCATTTTCATTAACTTTGGTAACAATAGCTTAAGTAAGTAGATAACATAGATAAGTATCTTTTAACACAGGCATGAATCGCAGCAAACTAGAGTATTAAGTCACTAAGTGTTCACTATTGATTACATCACAATGGGTTTTGCACTATAAAGTTCAGACCATTTTTAGGCTTAGGCTTTTTTTTTTTTAAGGGCTAGAAAAAAGACTTAGTTTTTTTTATTGTGCTGAATCTCTTCTTAAGATAATTGATTTCTATATGTAGAAAAGGCATTCAAGAATACTTTTACTCTATTTTTTAGGCCACAGTATTACAAAATAATTGAGGAGTGTGTTTCACAGATAGTGCTGCACTGCAGTGGTATGGACCCAGACTTCAAGTATAGGCAAAGATTAGACATTGATTTCACGCATCTGATAGGTATGTAATATAATGCTCAATGTTCCTTTAATTGTGTTTTCTCCCCGTTCTGTATAATAGATACTTTTTAAAGGTAATTCTCCCACTGAACTTCCTCTATTAGTATCTGTTAAGTCATTGTATCCATGGGTACCTAATATCTATAATTGTTAATTATGATGATCATGAGAGTTTTGCTTCTGAGATTGGAAATATTAGCCTATTTGACAAGTTTCAATACCCCTGAATCCATTTAAACTCAATGCTCCATAAAAGACCATTATGTTATTATAGCTGACTGTGAAGCATGACTTTCTGAAATCTTTTAATTCAGTTTACACTGGCACCTCGGTGCTTTTGTAGAAATCACATGTATAATAGGTTCTAATTAGTATTATAGCTATGTTCTTGGTGTTCAAATTTAACCAAAGAAATACAGGCTTATTTTAGTAACTTGATAACTTTTAAGGCTGACAAAGTAGATCAGTTTATATTTTTCATGGACTTTAGAGCTAGGAAAGAATTTGAGGTGTTAAAGTTCATCTGTCTAGATTGCTGAGGAAATGATTTTATATCATTCTAGACTAATAGTTGGCTGTACTTTCTAGAACAATTTCTGAAGGATGATATGAAACTTCCCTATTGAAATGTACTCTGTTATATGGCCTAATGCTGAAGCGGTTTTATTTATATCAAATTGAAAAAACTATTATTAAAGTTCAAACAGGAACTCATTTATCTTGTCTTTAAAGAAAGAAAACAACAGCTGTTGAATGCCAATTATGTATCATTCTTTTATTCCACAATACAGGGAAGGCTCACAGTAATAGTCAAAGATGAAGACCTTTTTTATTATTTATCATGTAGTCTTTTCTGATTTTATAAGTAATATACACTTATTATAGGTAATTTAGAAACTTATATAAGGGATAAAATAAACCACCAAGCCCATCACCCAAGAATTACATACTTTTCAGCTTGGTACATCTATCTATCTGTCTATCTGTCTGTCTGTCTGTCTGTCTGTCTATCATCTATTTGTCTGTCTGTCTGCTGATTTTTCATGGTGTATTATGACAGTTTTCTCATGTTATCCATCAAAATGTGAATATTATTTTCAACTTAACTAGTCCTTTCTTGTTATACATCTAAATTGTTCTCAAGTTTTTCCCACTATAAATAAATCTGCAGTAAACATCCTTGTGTTAAATTTATGGGTTTTTGTTGTTATTTCCTTAGGATTGAAGTGAGGGTATGAACTTTCAAATGCCAAATGCTTTTCAGAAATGTTGTGTCAACTTACCTTGCCCCAGCAATGAATGTGAATGGTAGTCTCACTGTATATTTTTTACTGGCTTGATAAACTCTGTAGTTTATTTCAAATTTTGTTGAAGGAGTCATAAGGGACTATTTCCAGATATTTGCACTGACCTATCATCTATTATGGATCATAGTTGGCACATATACTCCACTGTTGATTTTGGCTAGCTTGTTCAGTGTTCAACAGACATTTGTTTTTATGATGTGTGCCAGGTAGTTATGATTATGTACTGTTAATCAAAAGCATTGGGGTGAGGAGAGATGAAGGGACCAGGTGAGAGAGGATAGTCAACATCATAAACCCATTATGACCTCATCTACATGTCATCTCTGTGATTGTGAACAAATCATTTAACTTCCCTAGGTTTGAGTTTCCTCTACTTTCAAATCAGGTAAGTAAAATATATGAGTGCCTCTTAATATTTAATAGTCAAAGGCTTTTTTGAGTATCTGATAAGTGCTGTGGAACTTTCGTTAAAACCACACACATACACATGCACACACATGCAAAAATGAACAGGTGCTTTAGGAACTTCTAGGAGATCTGTGGATCTCAATTTTAAACTCACCTGGAATCAAGGAGCTCAAAGTCGCTTCTGATTTTATAATACTGTGATTATATTATCTTTCATAAATCAGATCATATCAAACCCCTGTCTAAAACACTCCAATTACTTCTCATCGAAATTTAAATCAAAATCATTTCCTACCATGGCCAGCAAAGCATAAGATCTGGTCTTGCTTTAACCTCATCACTTACCACTTTCTTCCCTAGTTGCTTTGCTCTAGCCACACAGGTCTTTTTTTTTTTATTAAACAGCTTTATTGAGATATAATTGATATAAGGTAAACTACCCACATTTAAAGCATACAATTTGATGAATTTTGGTATTTGTGTATACCTATAATACCATTATCACAATCAAGATAATGAACATCGCTATTACCACCTGAAGTTTTTGCATTCTGTTTGTAGTCCCTTTCTCTAGGGATGCCTTCCCACCTCTTCCCATCCCCAGACAAGCATTGATTTGCTTTTTCTTAGTACAGATTCATTTTCATTTTCTAAAAAAAATATATAAATAGAAACAAACAGTACATGCTCTTTTTTGTCTGGCTTCTTTCATTCAATATATTTTGAAATCCATCCATGTTGTGTTGCGTGTATCAATAGTACATTCCTTTTTTTTGCGGAGTAGTATTCCATTATATGGATATACTACAATTTGTTTATCCATTCACTTCTTGACGGACATTTGGGTTATTGCCAGATTTTGGCTGTTGTAAATGCTGCTATGAAGTCCTGGTACAGACATACACTTTCATTTCTCTGTGGTAAATAAAAACCCTGGTGGTGCGGTGGTTAAATACTTGGCTGCTAACCAAAAGGTCGCAGGTTCGAACCCATCAGCCACTCCTCGGGGAAAGATGTGTTAGTTTGCTTCCATAAAGATTTACAGCCTTAGAAACCCTATGGGGCAGCTCTACTCTATCCTATAGGGTTGCTATGAGTGAGAATCAGCTCAGTGGCAATGGGTTTGGTTTTTGCATTTTATGGTAAATAGGAGTAGAATGAGTAGATATAGAATAGACTATGTAGTAATGAGAAATGCAATATTGCCCAAAAGATGTTCTTCATTTATTTTATGACTTAATAGAAATGATTTTTTATTAGGAAAATAAAACACATACATACATACAGTCTTCTAGAGTGTTTGTATCTGAAAATTTGTAGTTTGTCATCTTATATACATTATACAGTTTGAACCAGATCAAAAGTTACTTAAGTAAAATATTTCACTTGAAAACCTGAATTAATGAGTGTTTTCGTATCTCCTCGTCTAGCTTTTTTTAAGGGTCATTTTGAGATTTGATAATTTCAAACATGGAGTCATTTGCACCTCTCCACCCATAATAAAGTATGAAAAACACTTAAAAGAATTCTATAATTGTAAAAGTTGAAAAATAATTGAATTCTCTGAAAATAGTGACGATTTATTCAAATAGATTCAGGGAGGCTTGGTTTTGTGCCTCAACAAGCTTATCATTTAATTCAGTGAGTACGCTAAAAAATGAAAACTTGGTAGTTGGTTTTATGCGTAGTATAGGTCAATTTCCCATTAATAGAAACTGAAATAAAAATGATAGTATACATAGTAGAATTATAGGCTGACAGCAGTCTTTTGCCTAGAGATCCAATGTGATAATGTCCTATCACTTTTGGTCAATAGATTCATGTGTGAACAAAGCAAAAGTTGAAGAAAGTGAACAAAAAGCAGTGGAGTTTTCAAAGAAGGTAAGGCTTATGAATACTAGTCATAATTGTTTAACTGAATTTTATCACAACACATTCTATCTTTTTTTCTATATGTGAGGTCTTATAAATGTGGCTTCATTTATATACCTAGTACTTTATATTTCTGGACCAAAAACATAACCACAGAATATGATTTGTTTCCTAATAAGATGAGGTTCTCTCCTCATCACAGTTAATCTTTAATGAAAGAAAAACACTAGCCATATTATACTAAAGTGATAAATGAACAAAAATTAGGTTGCTGAAAGGACATAGTTAGATGCAGTCAACCAAAATAAATGCCCCCATTGCTTTCCCATAGCTCTCACTTACAATAGGTAGCTCCTGGGAGAACTGTGAGATGTTTAGCTAGTCCTATTTTTAAAGTCAATCCTATTGGCAGCAGCAGAATAATGTAATGTTCTCTCTGTATGTCTCTCTGCTTAAGATTAGCATCTTTGAATTTTCTAATTGGCATTTAAAAATGATGCTGCTAGTTGATGTAGTCTTGGTGGAATCTGAGGTTCCTTTTACTTTCCACGTTAATGCCTTACATAAATGCCTTTGAGCAAATGCCAGTGCTATGAATCTCTTAATTTTATTTAGATCTAAGATTGTCTTTTCCTTGCTTCATGAAAGCATAGCTGCAATTATATTAGCTTCTACCAAAAGTTTCATTACTTTTTGTTCTAGATCCTAAGAAGCTTTAATGTAGCATTTCTCTCCTGTTGGTGGCAGGGAAAAGGATTGAAGCACAAGTCTAAAACGCTCTCTAGTTTTCAGCCTTTTGACAGAAAGATAAAGTGCTTACATATTGCTGTCTCTTCAAAGTTATGACTTATCTTGAGATTAGATAATCACTTTTGGTATCACTGTAGAAATTATAGAGTATTACTGATGTTACTTCAGGGCATCTGACGAAATGTCTTTGCTCTTTCAGTGACTAGAATAGATTTTAAGAACTTGAGCATAAAATGTTTGTGTGAAGCTGTCATTTTTATTGGTGAAAGAAAATGCATGCTTTTTGATTAATAGACCTTTATATTTCTAATGTTCTTGTTTTAAGTAGCACATTTAAAATTCCCTTTGAAAATCGTAGAATCTCCTTAGTTTTTGGCTGGCATTGTGATTATATACCACAAGACTAGAGTAAATTGTGATTATCTATCTGGTAAAAGTTTTCTTTAAGCATATATTATGGGAAATGGAATATTGAAAATAGTAATCAAAATGAAAAATTTCAGTGTTTGATGCTTTATTGTCATCACCATTTTGAATCAAAACATGCATGATATTCTACTGGTTATCTGTCTTTCTTCTTTTGTTTTGGGTCATTCTAAAAGGTAGTATAAATTGGTAAAAATAAAAAGAAAGAAAGGTCCAGAATGATAGGAGATAGTTTTTTTTTTTTTTTGTAACTTTTTAATGGAATACAGCAGAAAATGGAATTGTAGAAACCATACACGTAAATCATTACATAGCAAACATTCAAGTAACTACAATGCAGGCTAAGAAATGGAGTACACCAGCAGCCCAAAAGCCCCCCTTAAACTTTACCCAATCATTACCATCTCCCACCTCCCCAAATGTAACCATATTTTGACTTTTTTCGCTATAACTTGCTTGCTTGTGAACTTCATATAAATAGAATCCTTATAGTACATGGTTTTATAATACAGATTTCTTTTTGTAACGTTATGTTTTTATCATTATCAATCTTTGTTGTAGTTTATAGCATTGCTGTAGTTCATTCATTTTAATTATTGAATAGTATTCATTATACAAATATACTACAATTTCTTTATCTATTCTGTTGCTGATAAACATTTTAATAGTTTCCAGTTCTGGGATATTACAAATTTGTGGTGAACATTCATGTAAATGTCCTTCGGTTGACATGTGTATTATTTAGGGCAGGAATTGTTAGATCACTTTTACAACTTTTGTTGCATTATTGCACTGTTTGTGGTGATAGTGGATATCCTGATCTTGTTCTGATCTCAGAGGGAAATTTTCAATATTCTACCATGAAATGTGTTGGTTTTTTTGTCGGCTTTTCAGATAGAGAGACAGACAGATAGATATTCTGATTTGATTAAGGGAATCCCCTTTTATTCCTATTTTGCTAAGAGGTTTTTATCATGAATGGATGTTGTTTTTTTAAACCAAATGTATGAAATACTTTCTTTGCATCTACTAGGAATATAATATTTTTCTCCTCAATACATTAATACTGTGCAATACACAGATCTTCATTCATTTCTAGAATAGTCTTGATTTAGTTTGCTAATGTTTAATTTACAATAATTATCTCTATTCTCATGTGAAAGATAGGCCCATACATTTTATTTCTTGTAACATTCTTACAAGGTTTATACCTCATAAAATGAGATGGGAATTGTTTCTTCTTTTTTTATATTTTCTTACAGGAGTGTAAGATTGGCATTCTTCAATAAATCTTTTTTTTTTTTTATTGTACTTCAGGTGAAGGCTTACAGAACAAATAGTTTCTCATAAAACAGTAGTACACATACTGTTTTATGACATTGGTTAACAACCCCACAATATGTCAACCCTCTCCCTTCTCGACTTTTTTTTTTTTTTTTGGTGAAAATATACATAGCCAAAGATACACCATTACAAAAATTTCTACATGCCCAGTTCAGTGACATCGACTACGCTCTTCCAGTTGTGCTGCTATTCTCACTTTAGGTGAAGGCTTACAGAACAAAATAGTTTCTCATTTAACAGTTAGTACACATG